TCCACCTCCCTAATGAGAGGGAGCAACATGCTTGTGTGATACTCCACTTCCCTAATGAGAGGGAGCAACATGCTTGTGTGATACTCCACTTCCCTAATGAGAGGGAGCAACATGCTTATGTGATACTCCACTTCCCTAATGAGAAGGAGCAACATACTTGTGTGATACTCCACTTCCCTAATGAGAGGGAGCAACATACTTGTGTGATACTCCACCTCCCTAATGAGAGGGAGCAATATGCAGTACTTCACCTTGCTAACAGGATGGAGCAGTCTGCTACCTGAGGCATGAGGCAAACGATGCATTACCTCCCTCTTGGAAGGAAGCAAACACACTGCCCTGAACATGAAGAGTGTTCAATATCTATTCCCTTCTGTGGTGAGGTGATTTACTCCTGGAATGTTTAAACCTCTTCGAGATGGCCCTCCACATGACACCAAAAAACTGGTCCCATAAAGTCCAGGAATCCTGTAGTACTCTTCTTAGCTTAAGAGCTAAGCATCTCACAGGTTTTTTTTACTCCTGAGAAAGGGGGTCTGTGAGAAAATCTAAATATTACAAAAATGATAGGGAGGAAACTTTCTGTTTCCTCTGCCATCCATTGGAACAGTTGGAACCAGCTTGATTCCAGGTTTTAGAAGGCCATAATCTGCAATATGTAGAATGATTATTTTCATATTGTATATTAAAAATATATGCAGTCCGGGTGAATATCCCAAGGGCCCTTCTTATGGCTACACTGCCCTAAATACTGTCCTGATATTATTCTGATTTAAAAGAAATAATGAGTATATTTGAATGTCACACATACACTCAGTTGATTGTATGCAATGTGTACAAGTACACCACACTAGTTAAACAATTGAGGACATGTTCTACCTGTTTTTCCTTTTGTTTATTATGGCAACTGTTTACTGAGGAAATTGTTTTTTAAAAATGTAGACACACATGCAATAATAGTTTGGTATTATACATATCCACATGACAACTGCATGGAACATTATAGAACAGCTAAATTTCTTAACATATAGTATGCAATAGAAAAGTAAAAAAAATTCCATATTTTTGATTCCTTAATGCTTAGCCCAATGAAGCCTATCAACAGCAGTAGCAATGTGTATTGTGTCACTTCTTGTTTTTTTCTTTATTCTCCATCTTAACTGATCTTCCTCTATTTAACCCATGAAGATCTAATGTGCACACACACACACAGTGTTTACATTGACTTTGTCTTCTGTTTTCAATAAATATTTTAGCAAGCACGCAGATTGAACTGAATTTATGTGGTCACCAAGTCACTTGGGTTCGCACAGTTAAATAACCCTAAGAGTCCAGTAAGCTACCTGCTGAAGTTACTCTGAATTGCACTGGTGTGCAAACAATATCTGTTTCAGTCAATTTAGTACTGAAGCATATGTGACCTGATGAAACAAGTGGTGAGTGCCGATAAAATCATTAAATCATACTCCAAGCCTGGAAGTAACAATTTATAGGAAACGTTTAGCAAAACACCTGACCTTTAACCTCAAGTAAGTCCAAAATGTTGGATGTACTTTAGCTTTATCTAAAATAATGTAAGGGTAACATTGCTTTCATCACTTTCTAAACTAAAGAACTTCTCAGTGAATGCTAAATTTTTGTGCACTAATGTATTCCAAGGATTTTTTTAACACAAGGCCTAATTGAATACTTTCAAAAGAAAGCAATGTGCCAAGAAGCAATAATTCTTCTCTGGAAACAATTATAGTACACCCTCCACAATCCTGTGTGTACATCTGTACCCATTCAACAACCCATGAATTCAATGATCCAACAAGCAATAATCCTTCTGTAAATACAATAGTACCAGCTTCAAAAATCCTGTGAAAATAATACTACCCATTTCACAATCATGTGAATACAATAGTACCCTTTCCATAATCATGCTGGGGATATAACAGTACCAATTCCACTATTATGTGAATACACCAGTACCCCTTCCAAAATCATGTGAATACAACAGTACCCATTTTCACAATCATGTGAATACAACAGTACCCCTTCCACAATCATGTGAATACAACAGTACCCATTTTCACAATTATGTGAATACAATAGTACCCCTTCCACAATCATGTGAATACAACAGTACCCCTTCCACAATCATGTGAATACAACAGTACCCATTTCACAATCATGTGAATACAATAGTACCCCTTCCATAATCATGTGAATACAAGAGTACCCTTTCCACAATAATGTGAATTCAACAGTACAGTAACAGCTTCACAATCATGTGAATACAACTGTACCACTTCCACAATCATTTAATACAACAGTATTGGTACTCATTCACACAATCATGTGAATAAAACAGTACCCCTTCCACAATCATATGAAAATAAACAGTACCAATTCCACAATCATGTGAATAAAACAGTACCCCTTCCATGATCATGTGAATACAACAGTACTCCTTCTAAAAAATCATGAATACAACAGTACTGGAACTCATTCCACAATCATGTGAATAAAACAGTACCCCTTCCACAATCAATTCCACAATCATAATGTGAATAATACAGTACCCCTTCCATGATCATTGTGAATATACCCCTTCCATAATCATGTGAATAAAACAGTACCACTTCCACAATTATATGAATACAGCAGTACCAGCTTCACAATCATGTGAATACAACAGCATCCCTTCAACAATCCATAAATTTAAGTACTGATATAAATATTTTTCCCAAATCCATGTTAATTAATATTCATGAAAATAATTAATACACTATACCATATATAATAGCATGTAAGTTGAGTCCAACTGCAAGCAACACAGACCCTGATCTTGCATCTGTGTGCTTTTTGCAGTTGGATCTGACTTTACAGAAGTATAGACAGTAAATATTTTTCTATATATTAATCTGAACAAAATTCTGCACTAAGTCAACACATTTCTAACAATATGCACTTACCACTGACAGAATAGGCATGAAACTTTAAGATGTTCATTTTATTTAACCTACCAGTATCTGAGGATTGGGCTTTGCATTGGGTAAGTATTTCTTGACATATTCATCGCCTAAGAGCTGAATTAAGGCCTCTTTTCTGTCTTCTTTATTGAAGTGTTTTTCAACTTTCTGTGCCAGAACCTGAGCTATTTTGTCTTCAACCTAAGTAAAAAGCACAAATTATAATATTTGTGGATACGATTATAAATACCTTATATAAAAGATACATGCTTTTATTAAAAGAGATATTGACATGGTATTGCAACAATGGTTCATCTAAACATTACATCTCACCAGGGATTAAGCAATGATTTTGTACCAAAGTTCCAGCTAAATATAGCAAATGAAGTAGTAGATACATGACTTTTAAAAACAATAATAATGAATATAAACACATAGCTATTGCAGCTATCACTGTTGGAAAAAAGCAGTCTGATTAAAATAGAAATCTACTTATCAATAAGAAGATCTGACAGGCACAGAAACAAGGTCATGTTCTGTTTAACCTTTTATTCATTAAATTGTAGCTTTCATGCTGCTGAAAGTGAAAAACAACATTTGGAATATATAATGTACAAAATGACTCTCCCTAACACAAGTGTGTTATTGGAATCAGATAGTTAATTAATGTTAATTCCACTAGGAAATCCAATGGGTAAAAGACATGAATCTTAAAGGTGCCTGTCAGATTTCCATTATATTCAAGATTTAAATTTTAATCAGACTGAAAAAGTTATAATCCTATTAAGACCCGACCATAACCAACCCATTTCCACTGTATCTGTATATTAATAAAGGAAAAACTGAGCTACCATTATGATATTTCATGCAATTTGTTGTACACAAAAAAAAATCATTAATTTCAGTGTATGACAAATTATATGCAAAATAAAAAAAAATTATCATTTGGTGGTACTGACCATGTTTGAAAAATAAAGGGATAATACCTAAACAAGTTCTATAGAACACATACTACTCGACAACCAAATGATACAAACATATATTTTCTGTCTCATTCTGCTCTCAACTCAAGAATCTAATCACAAGAAAAATAAAAGCACTCAAAAAAATTTTGTTATTAGTAAACTAGAGAATTTTTGTTGTAATTAGTAAATGAGAAAAATAGGATTATGTCTTAGCTGTTATGTTGCATAATGTTGGCAAAATGATTAAGATGTATAGGTATTATTTATTGTTATATTGTATGCATCAATATGAGTCCACATTGTCAATAAATTAATGCAACTTGTATTTTTACAACAACAATAATCTCATTATCAAATTGCAATACAAAATAAAGAACTTGAGATCATGTTTTAGTGTGTGTGTTTGTATGTGTGTGTGCATGGGTGCTTGCATGTGTATGCACATGTGTGTGTGTGTGTGTGTGTGTGTGTGTGTGTGTGTGTGTGTGTGTGTGTGTGTGTGTGTGTGTGTGTGATGAAACAAAATTTTGCCAGTGTACAAGATTATTTATTCAGGGAGGTTTTTATTTGCAGCTTTTGCAAAGTGAAAAAAGACTATTTTTAGTTACCCGATGAGTGTGATAATTCTTACTATGATCCACTATCAATAAACATAGCTAATATCAGCAATTCATTCCCCCTTGACCTATGCTGCAGGTGTCTATGCTTTTTAAATTTTGAAAACAACAAAATGGCAATACTGTATATTCAATCTCTTTTGCAAATGTTTATCTTCTTAGTACAAATTTAATGTCCGATAATTTAATGGATTTTCCAAAAATGTGTGTGTGTGTTTGTGTATTTGATTTAGATTTTTGAGGTAGCTTTAACAATTTTTCATTCATGTCACTATGATGTCTGTAGTGTGGCAGTTTATAGTGATGTTCATCACAGGAGCATCATGCCTGCAGACATATAGCATGATGTCCCACCCAGTCACATTATCCTGACATTAGGTTGACCAGTGCTAACACTAACCTCTTAATGCTGTGCGCCAAGCGAAGCAGCCGTTAGTATACTTTTTGTATGTCTTTCATATGACTCGGATGGGGATTGAACCCACAACCTCCTGCATACAAGGTAGATGCTCTAACCACTAGGCCACTGGAGTGGTTTTTCCAAAAATACAGTGATATGTACGAAAAATTATGATTCATTTATATAAATATTTTTTTGATGACAAGATTGTGTACAAAAAATTAAAGGGTACAAAAAATGCAAGAAATATCGAAAATACTTTCACAGTTATTGTAGGAAAAAGTAAATGTAGCCCTATGGCAGGCTTAAATCATATTACTAAGTGCTTTGTGCCATTACTCCCTCGCCTTATTAAATAAGAACTTCCCTGCCCAACAGGTGAATGATCCAAAACCTAGCATTACCACCAGTAAGCCACTGTTTTACTTTTCATTACTGACTGTACATGAAACAGTTGCAGAATGACTACTGCATAATAGAAAACATAAATAGACATTAAATAGAAGAACAATGACATCATTGACCACCAAAACAACAAAGATAACACAACTGGAAAAGTGAAACATATATCTTTACCACACTTTGCTAATTAGACAAAATTGATTTATTATACCAAGCAATAATGACAAAGGGATCTACTTACATCATTCCAGGGGGCATTAGGCAACAGAGTTTGTTGATAGCAGGAGTCAAGCCACTGTGTCTTAAAGGGTGTCTGGTCTGACAATTCCTTTTCTCTCTGACCAGAGGCAGCCATTCTGATTATTCAACCTCACCAATATATGTTACTATTGATTTCTTGTTATCACAGTTGAACTATAGTTACAGGTAGTCACACTTGAAAGATATCAAAAGGATACTAAGGTAAAAAAAGAAATTGAAGGATACTGTATTTTTAAACCAGATTTACAGGCTACCTATACACTATGTACAAAAGTTGTATAAAAGTTTTGAGAAATAATCGGGTGACTAGTTCAGCAGTTCTTTGACTTTTGATTTTCAGGACACAACCACTTGAAGATCAGGTGGATTTTCCCCATAACAATACTTGGCTTTGGGATCCCTGTAGGAATTTTCATGTTGGACACTCTGTAAAATAAAAAACATCTAAATTTGTTTAAATATATCATCCACTGCAGTTTAAATAAGTCTCAGTTAAAAAAGTAAATATAAAAAAGTCTCTAAAAGAAACTGATGCTGTACTGACAAGAAAAAAGAAGCTCTGAAAGTGACTGATACTGTACTAGTCAAAAGAATTTCAGGAGAAATCCATTTTTTCCTTATAACTTCAGAGTATTTAAACAATGTGATATTTTTGAGCAAAGACTTTTAAATTAGCCACTCTGGCAGTCAGACTGGAAGAAGATCAGCACCATTTTCATTCAGGACTAACCAGACATCATAGCAAATCTTTCTGTGAAAACCGCATGTTGCTATGACCATCCATTCAAAAAATGTACCAATAGCAAGATTTTCAAGACTTCGGACTTCTGAGCAGTGCCAATTTCACTGACGACAAACAAGACATTATAAGAAGTCTTTGGGTGAAAACCCTTTGTCAAAATGGTTTTGCCTTCAGGAGCAGTGATAAGATTTCAAAATGGCTGCTTTGATGGCCATACTGGAGATCAGATTACTGGAGATCAAAACTTCCATTTATAATTAACTAGACAAACTCTTCTTCTGCTAAAAACCAAATGTCAGATTTATGAAGACCACTCAGCTGTAGGGTCCTACGATGTTCCTAACATGTCAATTACAAGTTGAACCTTTCAGCCTTTCTTCAACCCCCAAAAAATCCTTGAATAAAAACTAAACTTTGATCATCTGTCACACTCTCAAATGCACCATTCCTAAATAGTGTGTACACCTCTTCTTTAGATCTGGGTGGGGAAAACTACGGCCCATGCATGGAATGCTATGAAACCACCTGGCTAAGTGGCATGACTCACTGGTGAGGCCTGTAATGGGCAGCAACGTGACAGGTACTTATATGAACCTAGTCAACTTTAAGGAGGGAGAAGTGAGCAAATGTCTGAATCATAACCACATATAAAAATTACATTGTGGTAAGATCTATGGGTAGACCTGCAATCTACAGAATAGATTTGGCAACTCCTCAACATTGGTTTGTCCATGAATAATTATAGGTAATTCCTGAAAATACACAATTACCACCATGGTGGATTTGTGCTAGTGGCCTGCATTTAGCTCCTTGATGTTGGATACACTCAAGACATGTCAGTGTGACATTTTCAGGTGTGTGGCTGAATCTATTATAGATTCTATCCATGTCAGTAGGAAAAGATCCCACAACATTATTGTGTTCCATAAGGTGCATAGATTATTTTGTCGTTATTTCAGTATCATGATAAATTTGGCATAAAGATCAAACTCGTATTTATTTTTAAGTTGTCTTGCTGAGAGCTAGCTAATTTTTTCTTACCATGTCAGGAATTTAGGTGGTGGATCCCACCTGAGGTTGATTAAAACCATCATGAAATTGTCATAGACAATTCTCTGCAGCTGAGACATTTTTGTAATTCTTGATACTGCCAGATATACTAAATCTGACCATTCAACCTGATCATCGACAATCCAAATATTGGTGTCTGAGATTGTTAGACCCTGCTATGAATGATATGTTTTAACATATTCTACAGTCCAGCACAATGGTAGTGTCAGAGCCTGAGGAACAGCCTCAATGGGAACAACTATATCTTTAGATGAGATTATGCTGCACCACATGACATGTTCCTAGAATATCAACGAGAATATTCTGGCAACAAGAATCCACTGAATGATAACATAATGGAACTGCCAACATTGAAAATTTTACCTCATGAAGCTCAAATAATTTACGCTGAAGTGAACCACAAACTATTTTTCTGGATGCAAACTATCAGATCATTATGGTACCATAAATTCAAGAAGTCAATGCTCAGAGTTTCTGCAGTTCCATCTGGTAGATCTGCCTAAACTCTGAATGCTAACACACATTTTGCTGCCATATCTGTGATTATAAAATCAAATTCTGCTTGGCCTATAATTTTCCTTGTGCAACAGCACTTGTTATTAGATGAGGCTCTCTGGGTAAATTTGCCATTAATTTTTTACTCATATCTTTTGAAAATGATATAGTGTCATCCTCTGGCAGCCAGACTTTTTACTGTGGCCTATTTGAAATTATCGCCATGCTTGATGTCAGTGATGTCAATATGTTCTTATTGAGCATAAATCTCAAAAACACTGTTATAGCCCAACCTCATTTATGTTTTACAAAGAAGTCTAGTAAATTTATCTCCATATCTGGTTTTTTTTAAAATGATGACCAAACCAGGCAACAATAACTGCATGAATGTTTGCTACAAACTCAAATGATTCAATCTCTGTAAATCCAGTTAGATTCACTGCTGGCAGCAGACTGCTTATTGCAACTCTGATCATTTTGGGTGTTGGATAACCAAATCATGGTAAATATGGCTCACATTCACCAACTCCAAGAAAACTAGCAGGGTAACAGGCCACCATATCAACTGAAATTACATCAACAGGATTATAATGTGTGTTCCAAAGGCCACTGTGTCCTAATTCAATAAATGAACATGATATATCCTCGAGGTCTATTGGGGTTGGTTGCCATGAATTATTTTGTCTGATGACAAACAAACACAAATGAGATTCATCTATGTCCATTTGTGAATCAGCAATGGTATATTTTAGTGCCACCCGTTTCATCTGATCATAGAGAGATTCTCTTTGCAACAGTTTACCCAATGGCAGCACAAATTAATCAAACCAGGATCTAGTGGATCCTTATTCTGAGTCTGTCACTATTAAACAGCCAGAGTGATTCATATTTGTTATGAGTAACCTCTGCTATGGGCAACCACCTGTCATTTCTGGCCATAATTGTAATGCACCCCCTTGATTTTATTATATAAATGCTGTCATGAGCAACTTTTCAGAATGTGACCAGCAACCATGATGTCTAGGCAAAAATATGTATTTTGTCACTACTCTAAATGACCATATTGCAAAAATTGGGATAAACACTACAGACCTTTATCTAATCCCTGTAAAAATGATCACATATACCATTCTACAGGGGGAAAATAATGCCTGGTTACCAATATCTTAAATTTTGTAAGTAAAATTATAATGTTTTATATTTTCCATTGTAAACCAGACTAAACTCCATGTTGATTATTCTAGCACTTAGCCTGGTTGCCAAACTTGTCATAGCTACTGCCAATATATAATGAGTAGGACCCAGTATCCAGCTCTATGAACAATCATATTGGGAGAAAAGAGGCTAACTCCACAGACCTTTATGTAATCATTTTTAACAATAAATGCTTGATTAGAAAAGATTGTTCTGATAAAAAACAAACATAGAAAGAACACAAAAAATAAGAAAAATATTCTGGCTACTGGTTACAGATGCTGCATTTGGTAAACCAGGCTAATGTACATGTTGCAAATTGCCATTTTAGTGCCTAAGTTAAGGTAGTGGTTGCATATACTGTCTGTCTTTAGAGTTAATCCATCTTGCCTGGGGGTGAATAAGGTAATTGTCTATTAAACCAGCAAGAGATAATCATTTGAGGGATTTGATTGATAGTGTTAAAAGCTTGTGATGTTTTTAGTTTTTATCCCCTGATGTTACAGTAATTTACATCTCAATCACCAAACTGTGATTTACTGAAGGTGCTGCAAACAGGTTACACACTTTGTTTAGAACGTTAATCCATGTATGTCTTCTTGGAATGAAGCCATTGATTTATGTTGAGATAACTGTTTCTTTTTATTTCCTTAATTCTCAGATAAGCAGCATACATGTATAGATTTTTCATATTTTCCTAAAGCGGAGTCAAAACTGCCTTTACTGTCAATATTACAACTGCGAACTAATAATGTCAAACTTTCTAATACTTTACTAATAATGGACGAACCTCCAATTAAAAAGAGACAAACTTTAAAACTGGAGAAAATAATTATCGTTAACTGAAAGAGGTGAAAAAAGAGCAGACCACTTGCAAAATAGCAGTTTCAACTTTGGTATAAATTTTTTTTAGTGTTATAAAGTAAAATGAATAAATCAGAAACAATTTCATATACTAATACATGTAC